GCTCCAAGTCTGGAACTAAGAGAACATCGGAAATGAATCTTGTACCCATCTTGGTTTCTATAGCAATAGTATATTTTCCTTTTGTTTGGACTAAGGCACCATTCCTCATTTTTACTTGAGAACTGGAGGAAGCATCCATTTTCACAAAAATGCTCTCATCTCCTGTCATGTGATTACTACATCCGCTATCGAGAAACCATACATCCTTGTTTTGATCTGATGCCTTGTGACAAGCATAAAACATGTGCCCTTCATTTTCTTGCTCCTCAGAAAAATTAGCTTGTTGAGTGCTCTTGACTTAGCAATCCTTCTTGACATGCCCAAATTTGTTGCAATTATAACATTTTGGCTTTCCTCAAAACCAACAATCTTTATCAACATGATTGCTTCAGTTGCAAATTCCACACTTTTGTTGAGTGGACTCTTCATTTTCCTTTCTTTAAAAATTAGACCTTCCTCTTCCTCTTACATTTCTTGCTCTTCCGGTTGCATTTATTCTTCTTCCTTTTCCTTGGGAATTAGAGGTACTAACATTAAGCTTGGATTGAAAGGCACTTTCAATTGACTTTTCAGATTGCCTACTAAACCTTTGCTCAAATTTTTAATTAAACCCATCAAATCTTCAATACTCAAATTAGCAAGTTCTTTAGTTTCTTCAATGACAGCAACAATAGGATTGTATTTCTCCGACAAACTTATCAAAAAAAATTCAACAACTGTTTGATTAGTAATATTATCCCCATAAATTTTCATTTGGTTTACAAGTTCCATAACCCTAGAAAAATAATCCTTTAACAGTTCCATATCCTTCATCTTTAAATTTTCAAAATCTCTTTTCAAAAGTTTGATGGTTCTTACTTTCAAGTTGCCTCTATACTCTTTCTGAAGAATATCCCATGCCTTCTTCACTTTTGTTGCATTGATAATTCTTGGAAAGATTGCTTCTGAAACTCCTTGTTGAATAAAAGAGAGAGCCTTTGAATCCTTCTTCATTTGTTCTTTTAATTGGTTCTTTTGGGGATTTGTCAAAGCTCCTTCATCTTCAGGTTCCTCGAACCCATTTTTAACAATATCCTAAAGATCCATATAGACAAAAATAGTTCTCATTTTCACATACCAAAAATTAAAATTTTCACCATTAAAGATAGAAGTAGATACATTTTGGTTGTTGGGATTCGCCATGGATGTCGGTTTGTTCTTGTTTGGGGCTTGTTTTCCTGTATCTGATCTCTACGCCCAGCTTGTTCTTGACCCAACCAAAGCTCTGATACCACTTCTATTAGCTTTTGATAAAACTCTCTCTAGAATGAACTATTATTTTGTATTGAATTTTTCTTCCTTATTATTCATATCCTTTGCCCATAGGCTTACATCCTTTCATATAGAGAAGGTTATACATAAGTTCAATGAAAAAGATCCATGAACCTAAACAACCTTGCAATTAACTAGGTACATGAATATAATTTAGACAATGTACTTAATAAATATAAAATACATGAATACAAAGAATGTATGAACTCAATGTATCCAATGCATGCAATGTATTCAATGTATCTAATGTAAATATGGCATTAATTTTAACAATTTTTCCATATATGCCAGTTGCTATATGATTTTGAATAGATGGAAGAAATGATTTTGAATTTTTGTAACAATGTAGGCTTGCAAAGGATTTATAAAATGAATGGTTCGAATAGAACTAATATTCGGCCACATGGGTCAAATTTGACTGTTCAATTTGTGAACCAGAATTGGTTTGTGAAGGGGCGCAATTACTCAAGCCTATTTGTATGGAACCTAGTTAGGCTGGACAAAGGTCCTCACTCCGAAGTGGGCCCTCTCTCCTACTCTATGATGGGCTAAGCTAATGGTCTTGGCCCACTCCCCACTCTGAAGAGTGAAAGACCATGAGCCTTGCCCTAGCACCCATTCCCACTCTGAAATGGGTTAGTCCATAACTTAGGCTCCAAGGCTCCCACTCCACGGCATATGAGTGCTAAAAGGTAACCTTACTCTATTAAGGGATGGACTACCATCACGACTGATGAGAAGGCGGCAAACAAGGAAGCTTGATGAGTAAGTCATACAATTCTTATAAAAGGTAACCTTTCTCTCCTTGAGAAAGGGCGATCTCTTTATTCTAGAAACACACTGGTCTTCTCTATCTTGTCTCTACCAAACTCCGATACTGACTCAACCGTCGAAGGGGTTTCCGACCACCCCCCGGTCAGGCAGCCTAACCATTTGTTCCTTGTGCAGGCCTTCACCCATCGGTGCACCAGGGTTCATCCACGAAGTTCCATTTTACTCTATTGGGGAAACCAATCGGCACATTTGGCGCCGTTTATGGGAATCGTTCTCTGATTACTTTGTGACAAACTCAGATGATGGGTATTAAAGGAACCTCGCAACTAGGGATTGAATAGAAGACTCCAGGAACAGAGAGAACCAAAGACAAGGGTCTGCCTTCCCTACTTGGAACGACGACATGATGGACCACGACAGTCCGACCTTTAACACGGCAGAGCGACGTCATGCCGCTGCCTATCAATCATCTTAACGGCTGTTTGTTGAGAAGGACCACCATGATTGTGTCATTGACTCGATAAGTCTGGAGATTGAGGAGCTACGTGCTCAACTGAGGATGCAGATGATACCTCAGGGTGAGCCAAGGAAGTCCGGAAGGGGACCGTCGCAGCATCGGAGGCACACTCCTCCGCCGCCCCTACGATGGGAATGGTCCAACTACAGTCCTGGTCGTGGTGAGCGCAGCCAGCTGATTCCAGTACGCAGTGAGGGAGCCAGCAGTAGGACGGGGAATCCCTGAGAGAACTCTCACAAGAGACAGAAGACCGTCAGTCATCATTCACTAATCTCTCCTCCTCCGCGCCGTCGTGACGAGTGACCATGGGACTTGAGGACATGGTTGAACGACAACCGAGGAGATGACCGATGGTCAAACAAGGTAGCGGAGCGGCGATTAGACAAGAAGAGGGAGCATCTAGATCGGTCCGTTCATCAAATAGAGCGCCGTGCTCTGGACTGACTAGTCTCTTCACCCCTTTGCCCTGAGATTAAAGCGGTGGAAGCTCCTCATAAGTACAGTCCACCGAAGTTCATCCTTTATGATGGGAAGTCAAACCCCCTGACTCATATCAGTCATTACTGCTAAATGATGTCACTTTGGAATCAGAACGATGCGTTCATGTACAAGGTTTTTGCCTCTAGCCTTGGTGAGCATGGCCTCCAGTGGTATGACAAGCTTCCTCCTCAATCAATCTATGATTGGGCTCAGCTCTCTAAAGCCTTCGTCGCACAGTTTGTTTCTAATAGCCGAATCCTGAAGGGATTGGATACCTTGTTCAATACTCGGAAGGATAAAAAGGAGTCTTTGCATGAATACGCTCGGCGATATTGGGAGGCATATGGTGATTTGGAAGAAGATGTTTGTAGTGAGCCATTGGCAGCTCTATACTTCAAACAAGGCCTCCCCCCTTCACATAAGCTTAGGCAGTCATTGACGAAACGACCTGCCTCTGACTTGAAAGAGCTGAGGGCTCGAATAGAGGAGCGAGCCTGTGTGGAAGATGACACAGCCTCTATACAAGTATCAATTGCAGATGAGGGAGTTAAGGCCTCTTGGCAACATAGGGCCGAACAACCTAGGAGGGAGGACCAAAGAAAGAGGTATGGCCAAAATAAGCAACCGACCATACAAACCGAAGAATAAAGGAGTAGATCCCACGAAGCCATAACCACTGTGTTCACGGAGCCGATCTACAGGCTCTTGGAAAAAATCAAGGGAGAACCCTACTTCGTTTGGCCTCCTAAGATGATGGGGGACCCTGCTCGGCGCAACCAGGAGTGGCGGTGCACCTACCATCGTGAGAAAGGGCATAAGACGTAGAACTGCAGAGACCTTAAGAGGCATCTCGAAGAC